CAACCAAAACAAACATGAAAGCAAATTGACAACGAACAAAACTAGCAAACCCAACTTAAAAAATAGACCTCAGTTATAAAATCTCTTACACCAATGTAAGGGGGGTCTACTTTCTAATTTTCCAGAAGTGGAACTCCATCTTCAATCTCAACCTGACATCCTGTTCCTGTCTGAAACGGATATCAATGCCTCAATCCCATTGCAGGAGCTCATAATACCGGGTTACTCACCCATTATAAGAAAATACGACCCATCCAATCCCCGGATACGACGGGACAGCAGGTGAACCTCCTCGACCTTTTTCTAACATCTTGCCCTGACAAATATTTAGCAAAAGTTCTACCCCCTTTGTCATATCATTCCCTAGTAAATGTCCATATTTACTCCAAACCAATGACATTCCCTGATTTACCGTTCTATATGAAAGAAGACTAGGACAACTTACGGTCCTATATGAAGGAAGCTCCTCTCCCAGCCTTCTTGAAACATGCTGCCTGGCTCAAAAACTGTCAGCCCTGGTTCACCTCTGAATGCGCTGCAGCCATAGCTCACCGGAACCATTACTTCAACATATATCGCAAGGAGCAATGTAGTCTGGCCCTTACTTCTTTCAGAATTACCCGCAATCGCTATAAGAGAGTCCTGTAAGAGAGTTCGCAAAGTGCAGCTACGCGCGATCTGGCCGGGTCAAGGTTGAAAATAAACAAATTGGATTTCCCGAATTCTGGTAGATCACCAACCATATTATGAATGGCTGTGACCACTATTATAAATGGCCTCAAGGTTATATCTTCCTCGTCAGACAAAGCGAAGCTCTTCATCTGGATCTTTGCCTCAAACTCAACGTTAGATGACAAAGTCCATCCCTCCCCAACTTCCCACGTTTCCCTGAGTACAAATGCAGTAATATACTAATTCAGCAAGAGAAGTTTCTAGAGTTATCAAAAACCTCAACCCCCAAAAAGCCACTGGCCCAGACAAAATTCCAATGGTCGTCCTTAAGAGTATCAGCCCAGAATTATCCGGGATTCGAACAAAGTTATTTAACCACTGCTTGAAGGAGAAATCTTTCCCAAGCATGTGGAAGGTGGCAAGGGTATGCACGATCTTCAAGAACGCAGGTAACCGATCCTCCCCCTCCCAGTATAGAGACATTAGTCTCCTCAGTATCATCAGTAAGGTTTTGGAGGTCTTAATCAACAAGAATGTCGTCGAACACCTGAATAGTAACAACCTCATAAATTCAAAGAACTTTCAAAGCTTCTTCTTCGGATTTTAGATCGCTTATCCTTTGAATTTAGCTCAACTTTCGTCTCATCGGAGAAGAGAACATTTAGTAAAAAAAATCAGGTGAGTCACTTTTATGGAACAGCACTGTATATATATATATATATATATATAGAGAGAGAGAGAGAGAGAGAGTAATATATATATTTATATGTGTGTGTGTGTTTGTCTGTGTGTGCGTGAGTGTGCGTGTGTGTGCGTGTAAGGAATTAATGCTGCTAAAGCAATGGCGTGAACAAATAAGGGGAGAAGCAATCATGCTGCAGATTTGTCAGTCGGAATATTACTAGAAATCTAAATATCTTGCAAATGCGAATACAAATATGATGACCGGAGATCAGGTCGGTGATAGGTTGCAAATCTAAAGTTTCTATCCGGTGATACTTCTATTGAATTTGTGATTTTTCTATTTTTTTTTCTTCTTTTTTATCCTCTATATTTTCCGTCATGCATCTCAAATCAATCTACAACCTTTTATTTTATTTGTTTTCTCTTTAATAGGTTACCTGGGGATGCATCTGTTAAACAAATAGCCGGGGATGTTTCTTCAAGTTCAGGTTCTAGCAATAAAGAATTTAAAATTAATCATTAACATTTCAAGAAAACAAAAGTAACAACAATAACAGCGAGAAAATATTTTAAGATAAAGAAACAAAAATAAAATAAATGATTTCTAAATAAAAATTATTCGACTGCTTGATGTAAAATGAAACATTTTGAACTTGGAAAGGAAAACAGTGAAATAGATATAAATCCCCCCGCCTTGTAATTTGTAAACTCACTCGTTAATATTCACGAGAAACCTTGAATCAGTCAACATTTGATGCATCTGTCGTCGCTGCTTCTACACAATTATTGATAAGCAAAACAGTTAGAATAAATGTCATGTTAATTCAATAGAAAGTCTTTAATTCTTAAATAATGATTGACGTCATTGAGTTCAAAAAACAATCGACTAATCATTCACTTTTATGTCCCCCAAGAATTCTAAAGTGATGTTCATTTTTCTCATGTTTGTCAGGGATAAAGTATGTGGGTTTATATAACGAAGTAATAAACCGATTAATGAAGATTATTAGATAAGGAGACATGAAAATGGCTGTTAAGTTATTTATATATTACTTAGGCTGGCACAAGAACACAGCAATGAGACATCCACCAAACATTCAACTCACTAGAATTTTTCCTATTAGATGTACACACTTATTCCATACACTACGTCGTCCTGGGTATACTACATCCGGCAGCGGGAGGTTTTGAGGAGCGTGGAACCACCACTTAATTTCTGTTGTTCTCAGGTCCACCATGACCCGGGCTGGTAGCACGTGTTAGGGTCCCTGCTATAGGCAAATTGTGAACCCCCAAATTGGGGTCAAAACACTATGAAAGTAGAGAAATAGATTTTTATAATAAAAATACCAGCAATACACTTTTGAAAAATATTACCAGCAGTACATTTAAAAAATATTGCCAGAGTTTTTGAAAAAAATATACATATTCTATTCATACGAACCTATCCTGGAAAAGCTTGTTGGCATTAAATAAACCACTGAGACTGATATCCCGTAAAACAAAATAAACCAAACCAAACCAATCCATACACTAAGCAGCCAAATCAAGCTCCGAATAATCCTATGTGAAAATCATTATGTGACATGCACCGGGTACTCAGCGGAGAACAATAATATTGAATAATTTTGCAAATATATTTCGCGTCCTTTCTCTAACCATTTTTCCCGTGAAAAAATTCGGAGAATGTCATATTTTGCCTTTACGGCACACACGTATAGTTCAAATGACTAAAAGACTATTTTTCCGGTTAGGGCATTACCTTCGATATCTATAAAGTGTTTTAACAGAGGCGCGTTGGTATAGCGAAAGTTGTCCTCCAAATGCTAAGCAAAGCATTAAAAGACAGAACAATTTCGTTTAAAACAAAGAAAAGAGTATTGAAATGTTACGTAATATCAGTTTTCCTTTATGGTAGTGAATACTGGACAATCTCCTCACAGATGAAAAAAAGCCACATAAATGTGGCAACAACGAAATTTTAGAGAAAATGGAAACAAAAAGAACATTTATAGTTTACAACAGAAAGAGATAGGTGATATTTGTCGGTCACATAATGAGGAAAGATGTATTGGACAGATTGAAAGCAAGAGGCCCAGAGAAAAACAACGTATAACCTACTTAGCGAGATCTACAAATGGATGGAAAACACTATCTATATATCTATCTAATTAACTAGGAGATAGGTGTGAAAAAGTTATGAGTAAAACCCAGTTCACAAAATGTAACTAGATGACCAGTTTTGTTGGAACTTTTTCTATAAAAATTTTATATATATATAACCTTTGGAAGTAAAGTCTGATGATCCAGAGCCCTTTAAAAGGGCTGTGATGAAATAATTTATTACATGGAACCTTAAAGTGGTCTGTTTTTATTCATATATATATATATATATGATGTATTATCGAAAGTTAAGAAAGAAAGTGACTGGCAGAATTGGGCTATTATTTGTGTTATGTATATATGCATTGCTAATTATTTTACTATACAGGACAAAATAACTCTAAAGACAATTTTCCTTAGATTAAATAAAATCTTACTTTGATATATCGAAAATACTTTTCGTGTGTTTCAAGGCCTAGTTGTAAGGGACAGTCATTTAACAATAACATTTCTTACGTGACTTATTGTTGAAAAACAGTCTAATGCAGAATACAGGATATTGGTTAAAAACATTCCGCTGAGTAAGCGCGAAATATTGTTTATTTTCCTTTAGTTTTGTTTTCCTTTCAAGATAAGTAAAATAAAGAATTATATACTAAACTTTCTTTTCTTTTTGTATTCACTACTAGCATTTACACTTTTTCTCGTCTAATTTTGTCGTCGTCTAATTCATTTCGTCTTCTTATTACTGTATTGCAATCCATATTATTTTTACCTTAGAAGGACACTTTCTTTCACTTTGTCGTTTCGTTTCTTTCTAACGTTTCCGCTTGTCACTCTGTGACATTACAATGCTTATAGAAAGCATTGTATGTTGCAAGAAACCCTGTAAACCGCTTCAGCAGGCGGGCTAAATCACGTAAAATTACCATCGAAAGGCGCTGCACTCTTCACTGCACTGGTAGTGCCGGAGAGGTATAACTTCGTGATAATAAAATGATAATTTTTTTTTTTTTAATAATAAAATTGTTCATTGTGTTCGTGGGAAATATTTGCACCAACTCCTTGTTATCAGCACTTCCAATAAGTGTGGCTGGTTCTACACAAGCCTTCACCATTCTAAACAAATCTTTTGTGTAGATAGTCTGCAGTTCAATTCTGTGTTCTTTCTTTGCTATTCCACCTGAGCAACAAATCCACCGGCGACCGAGTTTAGGCGACGGGGACAGGTACAGGATTAAAAACTGAACTGAAAGACACTCATACGTCGAAAACGACAGGAGAGTCCATCATATATATATATATATATATATATATATATATATATATATATATATATATATATATGTATGTATATATATGTATGTGTGTGTGTGTGTGTGTGTGTGTGTGTGTGTGTGTGTGTGTAAGTTTATAATTAAGTGTTCCGTAATAACAAAAAAGATAAAACACAGAGAGAAAAAAATGATCAAACAAGGGAGATAATTGAAAAGAAGATGTAAAAATAGTGAAACATAAAAAATGAAAAATTAATTAAATAATTAAAGAAAGCGAGAAATGCAAAAATTTGTCGGTAGAAAGAAGAGAGACGGAAAAAGAAAGACAAAAAAGATAACAGGAAGAAGTAAGGAATGAAGGAAGAATGAATATAAAAAAGAAAACTTTCTGGAAGAGAAACCTCCAGTGAAGAGAGACTAGAAAGATTAGTAAAGAAATATGTACTAAAAGTGAGATGCATTAATTCGAAAAAGAACACGTAAATGTCAGGTAAAATCGCGAGATGAATAAACTTTTGAGAAAAATAAATACATTTATTAAAAGTAAGTAAATGAATAAAGAAATAATGGCAATATTAGCTGTTTCTTTATAAAGAAACACTCGACATTCATTGATCGAGTAGCTTGTACTATTGTCGGTTGAAATTTATAAAATCTTCACTTATGGATGTCATGCATAGGGCCATATCTATTCCGAAATATTTAAATGGATTTGGTGCCGTGCATGACATCGATATTAAAGTTTCGATCTGGAGAGGTTAGTTAAAAAATGAGTCGAATTTTCAGGTCAATGTTTTGGTTTTGTATCAGTTTACTGTGTAGTGCGAAACTACTTCTAGTGCGGCTTATTCTATGTTTAATTTACTTATCTCCAATGCAAATTTTGTTTTAATTGATCCATACACTAAGGCAAGGTCTCATAATTTTACAGTTCAAACTACATCTACCGCAACCGATTCTATGTTCAATATCCTTATTTCTTACATGGAATATGTTATAATTGATGCATGTCACGAAGTATTTGAAGTTTTTTTTTTTATAGCAACTTCACAAATTGGATTTTTCTGATGGATTCAGAGTACGTGTCATCACTGAATTAATTTCCAGATCATTTTTTTTCTGTTTTGGAAAGATTTATCTTGTCCTATTTCTTAGAAAACTTGATAAAAGATATTGATAACCTGTTCAAGATAATTCATATTAAAGCTATGAATACCTATGACGTCAGCATATCCTCACTCATTGGCCTCGGGAGGGAAAGCAGGATCCCTGTATTCTATTAATATGGAATGCTTATATGATCAGTGCCCATCCCTTTACATGGGTGTTTGTACACACACAGGACATAGAAAGAGATTAAATAAATTGGGGTCCTCATTCCCTCTTTATCGAACTCCTGCTGAGGTTTGAAATGTTTCCGCGCTGAATTCCATGCCAGACATGTATGATTTTGAAGAGAGATATAGTTCTTCTATGATATCTAGACATTCAGTGAAGTCAGAGCTTGGAAAATGATTTTTAATAGATGAGAAAAGGAAGTCTTTATTGATGTGGTTATATACTTGTGTGAGATCAATATATCAGGTATACATTTTTCTATTGGAGAAGTAACAGATGGAAGAAAGGAACGGCAATGATACAAAGAAAGAGGGAAGGAAGGAAAATAAAGTGAGAAGGAAAACAAAAGTGAAGGATTAAAAGAATCTGAAAATAAAAAGATAGAAATAAGAATGAAAGATCAACTAAATCAAAATATACAAAGTAAAAAGAAAGAAAAGATGGGAAAGAGAGAAGAACGAAACAAAGACAGGACGAACAAAGAACGCAAGTAAATAAAACGGAAGATGGGAAGGTCGTAAACATAAAGTTAAGGAATATAAGAATAAAAGAAAATAGTAGGATAAAATGAGAAGAAAATTCAGTACATTGGAAAGACAGGAGGAAGGTCATTGAAAAGGAATAGAATGTAAAAATAATAAAAATGATGAAAAATGAACGGAAGACAATAAATAAAAGAATAAAGAATGTATGTAAAAAAAAAAAAATAATGAACATTGGAAGAGAAGAAATAAAGGAAAAGAAAGATAAACTCCAAAGAAAGACATAAAAAGATGATTTAAGCAAAAAGGACTAAAAATAATAAAAGGAATAATTATGCAGTGTGATGCACAATGAGAAAAAAAAGAAGAAATGTTCAAAAGAAAAGCCCGGATGTAGTCTACTGTGAATGCACAACTTAGCACCTGACTTGAACAAAACACGGCAAGAGCTAACATTTGAAACTGAAGTCTGTTTAGACAATTACATCGTTAAAGGTTGAATTGTCGCCCTAAATATTTTGTTTTTATTGATTGTTCGCCATTATAAAGAAAAAGAATTGCTTCCACACTCACTTCTGGTCTTAGTCTGCGCATATGTGTCAGGTGGTGCCGCTGTGTGTGTTTGGGGCGAGAAGGTGATGGTGAGATGAGTGACGCCCTAATAAAAGCGTAAAATTAATTGTATGTTCTTCGTGTCTGGAGAAAAATGATTGTTTGCTTCGTTTTTTTTTTTTGTAAAAATTAATTGCTATTTATGAATTTCGTTTCTTTTGATTTTTGTGCACCTCAAGTGCCTCAAGTAAGATAAAGTTTATTTTGCAAAAAGAAAATTAAAAGTAAGTGTATAAAAAGTTTTCTTTCATGTAGATTCAATAAAATGGAAATATTGAAAATTAAAAGTAATTTATATTATATATATATATATTATATATATATATATATATATATCAGGGGCGGAGAGTTTTTCCATTTTCAAACATACTTAGGCTGATCTCATTGATTCAGTTTCGATAACCAAAGTTCATAAATATATCTGGGAATAATAAACGAAACGGATGGCCACCGTCAGATCTATTGACATCCATAATATCGGCTATAATGTTGGAAATATTGTTAATAACAAGTAATAGAGAAATCTCGCTTTTTTGCTTAGCCAATGAAATTAAGTCGAAAGATAGGTGTTTGAAATTTTGTCTTGAGAGAGAGAGAGACCGAGAAAGAGATAAAGTAGGTAGTAGTACGAATAGATGTTTGTAAACATAACCACGTTTATTTATATTGTAAATATCAGTGATGAAGTTATTGTTTCATTAATTAATTAATAAAAAGAACAGGTTTTGAATAAAATTTGATTTTTTTTTATTGAGGAACATAGAAATCTACGAAAATACGGGTTTTTAAGCATGTTATATTAATACTGGAAAACCCTCAATGAACCTTCGTAGAATTCCGTAGTGGTACGTAAATACTTTTGTAATTTTTTTCATAAACATCCATCAAGCTATAAACAACTTTATTCATCAATATTACCTTTTATTCTATGTGAAAATTTAATATTTAGTCGCTTCACTACATTCAATTTTAACAGACTTTATTTACGAATTCTTTTTGTATTGAAAATTTTTTGGATAGACAGATTTTCAATGTTCTCAGTGTTTAACAGGATAACTTCAACTGGTCGATCATCAGATGGAATTTACATTTCTGAATCCCTATTTATATATATATATATATATATATATATATATATATATATATATATATATACAGAATTCCCGAAAGGTTCCTCAGGTTTTCTTAATATTAATATAAAATGACATACAAACCGTATTTTCGTAGATTTCTATGATTCAAAATTCACGAACTATTTTCTATTCCATGAGACAAATCTCTCTCTCTTTTCTATACTTTTGAAAGGAAAAAAAACTTATCTACTGTATTATATATATATATATATATATATATATATATATATAACTATTACTGAGTCAAAATAGTTCAAGTTCTCTCCGAAATATAATATATATTCATATATATATATATATAACTATTACACAAAATAGTTCAAGTTCAAGAAAGAAAAGACATGAATCTACCTTCCGCCAGCTATGGGTTGAAGCAGTGAATCTAGATGAATGAAAATGAAAATGTCAGACTAAGCTCTTTAGGCTTAGTAGGGCAAAAATTCTGTAAGAGGAAGTCTTAATTTAAAAACAACCTAAAGCGACAGTGGCTCAGTCAGGCTATCTTGACACACCTTCTGCTGTTGCATCTACAGTACATGGGGTTCTTATAAAACCCTCATAGTATATAACCCTTCGTTATTTTTATTAAATATAAACATCTTCACACACCACACACTCTGTGTGTGTGTCTGTGTGTGTATATATATATATATATATATATATATATATATATATATATATATATATATATATATGATAAAATATAGTTTTTAAGGTATACTATATTTAAGTGCTCAATATCAGAGATAGAGCGTATATAAATATATAAGTGGACATTGAAGTCAACAACTAGAGGCAACAGTCTGTTTCATGCTAAATGCAATCGTCAGGGTTGGCGATTGCATTTAGCAACGTTCACACACACACACACACATATATATATATACACGTATGTATGTACGTATGTATAAAAATATAGTTTCAGTTTGTTTATTTGTTGGTTATACACAGCCAAATCTTTTCGTGTAGTAAGATTAAATTTGGTTATTGTAATTATTGAATCCAGAGGAAGTTCTTAATGTAGTTTTTCTCTTCCTCGTAGATAAAGTATCGCTTTACTGCTTTTCTGTTAGGCAGAAACATTATTTCTAGTAACCATTACCATTCTCCGATCAAAGATTATAATTTCTCCATTATTATTAATGTTCAGACAAGGAAATTCGATTTTTGTAATAGATAATTAATTTTTTGTTCAGGTAAACTGGGGTAGAGTATTTAATTATGATATTTCTAAGTGAAGATTAATCGTGCTTATAGTTGACGTGCATTTGGATTTTGTAGAAGATGTTTTTGTTATTGTTTTTGTCTTTGTGTTCAGTATCGTTATTATTTACTTTGGAAAGAAATTGTCTAATCTGATGGTCAATAAAGCGCTCGGAAATGTAGAACATTTCGACAGTTTTTACACACTTTGTGTCCAGAAAAGAAAACACTTGGAAGAACACAAAAAAAAATTAAATAAGAAGCTTAATCGCAGTACTTTGTTAGTTGTCTAAAAGAAGGATTGCTGCCTAAATACACAATATATATATATATATATATATATATATATATATATATATATATATATATATATATATACAAGGCATTGAAAATTATGTATTAATGACAGGAAGTTATCGACTCTTATATCAACACCATGTGCCTTTGACGTCGTGGGTAAGCATAATAAAATTGTAAACGCATTATTTCCGGAGCGATCCATATATGCGTGCGTGCATATACATGCACAATATTTTCATTATCGCTCGCTCTCTCTCTCTCTCTCTATATATATATATATATATATATATATATATATATATATATATATATATATATATATATATATATAGAGAGAGAGAGAGAGATATATATATATATATATATATATATATATATATATATATATATATATATATATATATATATATAGTAACAAGTAACAGTAGTTTTACAGCATTCAGAGAGCATCTGTGTAACGTTTGTTTTCTCACTGAGACAAAATTCCCAATAAACAATTTAAGTTGTTCTGTTGTCACATTATTTCATTTATTGAATTGCTTTGTTAATGAATACTTGATAACAAAACTGTTGTTGAGGCGAACAGTGTAGCAGATTGATGTGTCTACACATGCACCGTCCTACCTGAGACAAAAAACGAAAAAACTAGGAAGTCTAATGAGGGAAGAAAAGGTTTGAAATGTAAAGACTTGATGAATAAATACAAGGAGTGGAATAACGAGTGTGGAATTTGAGAAGGAAGTTGAAAGAAAGAAGAATGAAGGGAACGAGAGACAAAGGAAATGAAATGAAGTTCGTTTGTTAATAGAAAGGGGAAAAAAAGTGGAAGTTAGTTAAATGAACGAGAAGAAGCAAGACCAAAAAGTTGAAGAGAAAGGAATTTTAGGAACGGATAAAAATAACAGAAACGAAAGATGTGATTTAGTAGTGTAGAAAAGGAAGTGAAAGATAAATAGAAAAATAAAGAAAGGAATTCTTTACAAAAGGAACAAAGAAAAGAAAAAAAAATAACAAACATGTTAAGAAAAAGAATAGACAGAAAGAAAACATCGAAAGAAACGTTAAAGCATGAAATATGAAAAAAGAAGAAAAGAAAAGAAGAAATATTAAAAGAAAGAAGAAAGATTAAGGGATGTATGATATAAGTATCAAGAGAAAAGAAAACGAAGGTAAAAAGGACAGAAACACAAAAAGAAATATAAAAAATAAAAAAGAGGTGAAGAACAAATAAAGAAGAAATTCAGAATCAAAAACTAAAAGTAAAAGAAAATAGAGAAAATGAAGAATGAGAAATGCGTAAACAAATAAAAAGAAACATTACAGAAAAGAAAACTAAATGAAAATCATAGGGAATAAAATAATATTCATGCTAAAAGATATAACGAAAACAACTATTTTAACACAAGTAAATTACGATATATATTCGGCTTACTTTATATAAAGTAAAACGTACTAACTTCAAGTAGCAGTTCTACTGATGCTTTCTTTCTGGGAATCATTATAGTGACGTGCTCACTTGCTTTTCATTCAGTCTACAAATAGCTCCGCCATTTTTTATTCTGTTCAAAACTCATCAAATTTGCTTCACTTTGTTGCTTACACTTATGCTAAAAAGACGCTGAGAATAAAAACAAACAAAAAAAAAACATTCTTCTCGACCAGATTCAGTGACACTTGTTTAAAAAATCAAGGACTTAATGTCTAATATTACTACTAAAATTAAAACTAGTCATAATATTAACATATTATGACGAAGCTTTTGCTTTCACGTAGATGCAATAACATAGAGACATTGCTGGATTGATAGACATATACATTGCTGGATTGATAGACATAATATTTACCTTATGATAATTTAATTTACCTTTAATAATATTTAAATTTTTGGTTAACTTCGAACTAAAATGAAATTTTTGGAAAAGATATTAGTCTATCTTCGTCCATCTATGAGTTAAATAATATGCCAGGCTTGCTTGCTATTCGTATGTGCCGACTTTCCTAATCTCTTACCTCTATGCAAT